CTATGTAAACGGATGAGTTTGGTGAGTGTTACCGAGGATAATTCTACACTTAATACTTGTCACTCACTTTGAATCCACTTCACCCTACTCTAATGGGCTGTGGCTGACCTCAGGTGGCCTACACACAGACACAAACTGTTGGCAGCATGCTTTTTCGGGTTGGCCTGTCACAGTGACTGTGAATAACGACAGGATACCCGAGCCAACATAGGAATCATGGGTAGCTTACGTTGTACTACTCACGCACCCACCCCATATCAAGTGCAAATGCGAAGGAATAAAACTGGGAGACAGGCAGATGGCAGACACGATTAATTCGGAGCCAGACCATACTCTCCCATAATATGCATATCATTTATGGAAAATACAGAGAAACATGTAGACCGTAGATAAGTAGAGCTGTGATTAGGTCGTAGCCTGTTCCACACAGAATGGGTTCTTTGAGCCCAGCACTGTTATGAAAACCATGAACCCCATTCCGACCAGCAACGAGCAATAGTTTCCGGGAGCAAGTAATCGAAGCGGCGATATTCGACAGTTACTTTGACAAAAATCGCATGAAGCACAGCCAGGTCAGGGATATCTACTGTTGAATCGCGTCAAAAAGGTTGCATGCATGTGTATGGGTCAACTGCACCGTACATACCACACGTACCGAATTGTCGGTCTGGAAGAGTAAAAGAAATCAGAAGCTGCGTAATTTTGCAGTGTTTACACCTACCAATTCGACTCGGATAGTGGACCCTAGAGGCCGCGTCGGTGACTTACCAGACCTGATGGGCTGAGAAAAACCCGATCTCATGTGCTACAGCAGCAAGTACAAAACGTCGACGGACTGAGCTCCACGGGCACCTTCGCAACCAGCGTCCTTCTGTCTACCAATCCTTCCTCGTGTATAGGGGCAGCATTTTTATGTGATCAAGCAGTTGTTTCTTCCCAGCATATAAAATTAACATAAGCCTGTGATTGACAATGGATTAGCAAGTCATGATAGCGCAGTTTCGAACCACCGATGTCGCTTGACTGCACTAGGTTCATCTAATCCGCTATTTCGATATTCCGGTCCCATATATATATATATATATATATATATATATATATATATATATATATATATATATATATATATATATATATATGTCAACGAATCACGGGTAATGATGAGCTTCAGCAAAGCAAATATTCCAATTTCAGTGAAAAATCAAGACCAAATGAGTGTTGGGTTAAAAATTTTTTTACGAGTCAATTCTTATCGGGCCCGAAGGCTTACACAACAGATTGTGTCGTTAGCGTCAAATTCGGTTAGGAAGTTGATTTCCGGGTCGTTTGAGCTACGATGCATACAGAAATACATGAGAAAAAGAGAAAATTTACAAAACCGCTGCTATGAGAGTGAGACTTCGCATGTCTACCAGTGAGTTCAAGTTCTTGTCATGCCCGAAAGGGCTACCAGTAAGGCGTGTTCGTGTTCTTTGCACACCCGATCCGGGAGTAGAAAACGCCAGACTGCAGCCAATTTTGAAATCAGTGTCTTTATTATTTGAACTAATCATTCGTTGGCTACTTACACTTTCAGCCGACTTCTGCGCGCACAGAGAGGGCACACGATGAGGTAAACGTTGAGTTGGCATGCCAAACATGAGATACCAGCAGTTAGTGTCTCTTGCGTTGCACACATCAACGTAAGATCAACGGTTTTCACCGTACGCAGGATATTCTTATACAGTGCCCTGCTGTGGTCGTTCTTGCACCAATACAGTTATTCTTCTCCTCTGCAGCGGTGGACCTCGGCCATACAAGGGCAGAGTAATAGGTTTCCGGATACGCAGTACATAGATTAGGAGCAGATGACCTGGCAAGAAAAAGGTTAACTGTAATCCATCCCGAAAATTGTTCAGGGACTTCAACCCACCGAACCTTATATCAGGAGCCCAGCACAATTCACAAGTTCTAAGGGTCGCTATACATTGACTGTAAATATGGAACTCAGTCGATGTCACTGGAGGGTGATGTGCTTTAAAACAGCAACAGTGTGGAGCGATAGCGTGTTACGTTTGGTGATGAAGCGCCCTCAAGAATCACCTGGTTTGAGTAATTCAAGTGTGGCAGGCGGTCCCTGGATGATGAGGCACGGTGTGGTCGACCTGTGAAAGCCACCACCGCGGACAACATTGCTGCTGTGCAAGCGATGCTGGAAGAGGACGAGCGGGTGGTTACGGCACAGTTGGGGAAAACGATCGGGATCAACCCGCACCATCCTACATGAGAACCACGGCCTCAGAAAGGTTTGCGTACGCTGGGTGCCCCATCAGCTCAGTGGGGACCAGAAAGCAGCTCGAGTGAATTGGTGCCGCACAAGGTTTGCCCAGGCTCAGTGGTGAACGTTCCAATGTTGGTTGAGTGATCCTCACTGGTGATGAGATGTGGCTCCACGGTTTCGACCGATAAACCAAGCAACAATCGGATCAGTGAACGGCCGTTGGTGGGGCGCCCCCTCAGAAAAGCCGGTGTGAGCACAGTGTGGCCAAGACCGGTCATGTGGCTACTGCACCGTAACGCAGTCACCGGGGACTGGTGTGCCACCCCGTCGCAACGAGACTGGACCTTAACGTGGTGCGACGGTTTGCGTATCTCATTGACCCATCGAGCTATACTGGGTGATGCCTCCGGGCACCCTGAGAGCTACTCCTACCAGCTTGGTCAATGGTGAAGGGTCAGACAAAGTAAGTCTCCTGGTCCTCCAGGTTGGAGGTTTGAAATGGGATAACGTTTATTTCTGTAAAACTAAATCATTGCCACCTCCCCGCTGCCTTGCGGACAGGCTTTTGAGCCAAAGGCTTTTGATCAGAACCCTAATCGTCCTCCTGTCGAGATCTTGGCGCCCTGGCAGTATCACAGTCCACATACAACGATGACATTTTCTTCAAACATAAACTACATCCTGCATCGGCTGTCGCGCGGATTATCAAGGATCGTCTTATCTGCTGCATACAGCAGGGCGGATAAGCGAAAACATGCTACTGCTAGCGCCTTCCTTCTAGCCTTTCCACCTTTTTCTCTTACTACCATCCCGGCCCCTATAACTAACCTTACTTCCATAATTCCCAGCTTAATTGACAGTAATCGAAGTGCCACTGGAGTAGAACCATCTGCAGCCACCATCCCACCACACCTATCGGCAAAAGTCCCTTGTAAGGCCACGCTATCCCGTTTACATGGCGACATTCAACGTTCGCACTCTAAGACAAATAGGTCAACAGGCTGCACTCGCACACACTTTGGACACACTAGGTATTGATGTGGGTTGTGTGTCCGAAACTATACCATTTTCGAGTCATGTTAGGCCATACAGGTAGCGACTTAAGCTAACGAGCTATCAACTTAGTCTGGTACGCTAACAGGTTACTCCTTCCGATGAACTAAGTTAAGTCAGGCTACT